AGGATGTGTGCGGATGTGCTGGCGCGGTTTATAGTGACTCGGGTGTGCTAGTGGCGTTTTATGTGTATTTGCTGTGATGAAATTAGTGAGGAAAGATCATGGGTGATGTATATTCGTGCGCTGGATGTTTCTCTACACGCTGTGCCTCTGATACCTACTCGTAAGTAACGCTGCTGGTTCTCTCTCTCCTGGGATTGGTGTTGGGAATATTGTGAATGGCGATGCTTAATACTACTGCTGTAAAGTAAATACTGCCGATTGCGATTGCTGGTACTCTTCATTCTTATAAAGTTTTGTTGTTATTGTTATTAGTGTATACGTGATTCTCTCCGTTTATAGTTTACTGAAGATGAAAGAACGTGTCGACATCAACCGGTTTCTTAATCAGGTCTGACGAGATCACGAGAAGGCCACAAAGTATCTTTAGCTGAAGAATAAAATCCGCTTGTTAATAATGTGTCCTGGCGGAGACCGTTTAGCCAGAATTACCATCTCCATCTCAGCGGAAAGAAAGGTTCTCGCGTATATGAAGAATTCTAACTGTAATGCCAATATTAATTTCCTATCCTTTTTTCGAGTGTTTGTTTGGCAAAGTGCCTTCCGGTGATTAGGCGACACCTGTCACCTCTCCGACCTGACCTTGCACCTGTTTCCGCTTCCGGTCCCACGTTCGCTTGTTTTCTGTCCCTCGTGAGTCGGGTTCATGCTGGTGGATCTGTCAGCAAGGCAGCTGTTGTCTCATTATTTATCATTAGGTGTCGTTTGTATTTACTTAGATGTATATGATTATCATTCATGATATTATAGAGATCGTATGACGCAATTGAGTTATCATCCGGCCGCATCGCAGTCTAGTGATTATCTTGTATAACTGTGGCTATCAAAGGGAATTAATGGGAGGTCGGACATGCCATCCCATTTCCTATTTGCTCCCCGCAGAGGGCACGGATTTCGGGAAGAAAACAAATGTGCAGGAAAGAAATGAAAGATTTGGAACAAACCTTGCACGCACATACCCAGTTTGCACGCGTGTGTGGAGTCCTCATTGATCCGGGCGAAGGTCAAGACTAGATGTTGTGTTTGTCAAGGATTTGGTGTTCGGTTACATCATGATGTGCTCGTAATGATGCCATTCTCATCTGTGTTGCAAGTAGGCCAGACATGGAGTAAGATATACCCATGATGCTTTAGCGCCTCTTTGTTTCGTCAATGATGAGGATTATTTGTTAATGAGGGGAAAAAATCGCGAAAATTAGTGGGATTATAACATTTTCTTCAGCGTGATGGTTAGTGAAAGTTAAGCGCTTTGTAAAGTCGACAACTGTGTATGTAGGCTGTTCAGGAGAGGATTTGTTATTTTATTTAGATATTTCCTTTCAACTGCTATTTTGTATATTGAATTTGGTATGTTCATGTTTGTTGAAGTAAGTCAAGAAAGACAGCTTGTGCACTTACATAGAAACTTCAAGACTCAAGTACAGCCGTTCTCCAAATAAACTTTTGAACTACATTCCTTTTACCTTTTTTTCTTTTTACTATTTTTAAAGCTTTTAACCTTCACTCGCATGCATTTTCCAAGCATAATAAAAATCAGCTGTTTCGTATGTTCATGGCAACCACTTTTCATAAAAGGCAAAGAGGCGAAGGAAATTGTAGTACACAGTCCACCCCCTTCCCTAAACGGTAATACGAAAGCGCAAATGAGGCTGGGGGATTCCTTTCAATAAATTCTAGATCGAGGAGGTGGAGGCAGCAAAGGAGTGAAGAAAGAAATGGATCTGTGGCAGGCGAGTTTTCGTTGGGGAAGCCAGAAAGTGGGAAAGTTTATCGTCCTGTAAAGCTTGAGAGAGAGAATAAAAAAAATAGAAATAAGACATTGCTTTACAATGATCCATTTAAGGATTGGGAATTGATAGCTGAATACATATTAACAAGGATATATTTCTGTTTTATAGTTTAGTAATAAGTGTGAAAGACACGTGTGATGTGCCTGGGGCAATCTCCCCTCCCCTCCCCCTCTCCCTCCCCTCCCCCTGAATGTGGGTTAGCGGGAGGAGGTACTGCCCGTCGCGGCGCCCTCGCTCGCCCGCTCGCCCGCAAACAAGCAAATGTAGCGGTTTCTTGCGTACACGCCGCGGCTTTTGCGCTTTTTCGTTTTTCTTCTTGTTCTGTGTTTTTTTTTTTCGTTGTTGCTTGTCCTGTCTTTCGTTGTTTTCCTTTTTCTGTGTTTTTTGTTGCTTGTCTTGTCTTGTGTTTTTTTGTTTTGATTGTTTTCTTTTTTGTTTTTTCTTTTTGTTTGGATAATGGTTTTCTTGTCTTTCGTTTATTTTTGTATTTCCTTTTGTTTTGATAATGGTTTTCTTGTCTTTCGTTTATTTTTGTATTTCTTTTTGTTTTGATAATGGTTTTCTTGTCTTTCGTTTATTTTTGTATTTCTTTTTGTTTTGATAATGGTTTTCTTGTCTTTCGTTTATTTTTGTATTTCTTTTTGTTTTACTGA